GACTTAGACGAAGGATAACCAAGCCTGGAAATTTGAAGCGAGTCTTCAGTCATGTGCTTCCAGTATTGGAATCAAGAAGCACATTGCTGAAGACATGCTCTAGCCAGCTGTACTCTCTTACATCATGTGACATAAACCACGGGGGTAGCAGAACCCCATTCTATGAATCTGAAGATTAGGGCTGATGGAGACACACCTGGCCTTTTCCAAAGTCATATTTAACTATGAAAGAGAAAGCAAAAGAAATGTCTTTTGCGAAATGTTTTCTTTTTGTTTCCCATATAGGTAGCTAATTGGGTCTTTTAAATTCTGTCTATAAATCATGATCTTTCTATTAGTGGCAATAAAAAAATCTATAGGTTCTGAGAGTTGTTTCTAGTATAACTATGGTAATTGACCATGAATAAACACAGCATGTTCCAGGGACATGGTTATTTGACTTTCAGCAGGGAAGCCCTCTGCTGGCACCTGACACTACAGATTGAATTTGCTATAGCACAACTGTATGTCTGGGCTGGGGCTGAAAGGAGAGAATGGGCCAAAGGGCTTGGAAGGATGTAATAGGAGGCAGATCAATTCTGCTTGAATCTGAATAAGTGCAGATCAGTATTCAGGTACAGGAAGTGCCACAAATCTTTGCCCACAGGTGGCTGCTGGAGTCACATTGCCTGTTTGTAGAAAAGTAACCTGGGGCTTGATGGAGATCTCAAGAAAAGGGGACAGTGGCAGGGGACGTTCCTTAAGGGTCAACTGTAGATACAGTGTTTGTCAGACCAAAGTGAGATCATTAACAGATAGTGCATTGAAAAGTCAAACTGCTATACAGTTGTAAGGGAGAGAATATGGGGTCAGGGTAAGTGTATGGATTTTGGGAGCACATGGGTTCATAGCATCTACAGATTAGCTGTGCACCTTTACCAGATACTTAATCTCTCTACACTTAACTCGTCACACCTGTAAAGAGGAGACAATGCTCTCATTGCATAAGGCCAGATCCAGGGAAGTGGCTTTGGTATGGCAGTGAGGGTCAGTGTTGTCACCAGTAATTGTAGAACAGTCTTCCTCTGTCAGAGTTCAACAGTGTCCTCCTACTTGCTACAGCTCATGCACCCTTTCAGCTGTCATTCTGTCTGACTTCTGTATGATCTTCCGTATTCACCTCATGCCACCTCTGGGCTGTTGACTCCTAATCCAGATCCCCAGTCCAAACTTCCTGTGTGTCATATATCAACTGGTTTATGGGGCATGTACACTCGGATGTCCCAAAGGCATGTCAAAGTCAACCCCTCTAAAACAAGAACCATCTTTCTCCCAAGAGCATGTTTCTCCTCCTGTGTTTTCATTGGACCTCAGCCATTCAGTCACCCAAGTGTGAAACTTGAGAGACATCCCACATTGGCCTGTTTTCTTATGCACCAGATGACTTCAGTTTCCAAGTCTGGCTACTTCTACTTTCTCAGTGCATCTTCAACCAGCTCCCCTCCCTCTCCACACTCTCTGTAATTTACTGCCTCATCACATTTTGTTCAGAGATAGCTTCCTAACTTGTCTCAGCGCCCTCAGTGTGGCCTCGATTCACCCATCACTGCCAGAAACAGCTTCCTGGTGAGCAAGTCACAATGCCACTGCCCTTCAGTTCCCATAGCACACAACCTCTGAAGCCCTTGCTGACCTTTACTACTCTGCCACTCTCGCAGTCCAGTCCTCTGCCGGGTCCCTGCAATCTCCGTGCACCGCCTAGCACCCAGCCCCATGCCCCTGTGCTTTCGCACATGCCTTTCCTTCGGCCTGGAAAGGAAGATCTAATCGGTTAATGGACCCTAGGTTCTCCAGTAGCACCCAGTATAGAATTTACCCCGTTGTTTTAGGCTACATACAAGGGTATTCCATAAGACAGTGGTTTCTTAGGGGAGGGTTTCTTAGTGTCCTGTTCATTTTTGGTCTCAAGAACCTACTATGGCCCCTGACACATCGTGAGTGCCCACGAAGAGAAATACTTTCTTTATTCAGAATGGACTCCCTGCCTCAGCAGCTGACTTTTTGGAGACTGGTCCCTGGAGGTTTCAGGGCGCCTCGCCCTCGGGGCGGAGCAGGTGAGGCGCAGCTGGGCAGCTGG